TTTATTTTATTTTATTATTTTATTTTTTTATTTTATTTTATTTTATTTTATTTTATTTTATTTTATTTTATTTTATTTTATTTTATTTTATTTTATTTTATTTTATTTTATTTTATTTTATTTTATTTTATTTTATTTTATTTTATTTTATTTTATTTTATTTTACAATATGTATTTATTTCCTATTCTTTTTACAATGCTTATTTTAAAACCCACTATTGAAAACTAGGAAGATTTAAGAGAACAGAGCTGGAGTGATGCACCAAGGCCTGTTCTTTTAGGGTGGGAGAGGAAGGTCAGAAGGGCCAGGCTATGAAATGCCTATTCCTGGAAGCTTCTGGGATTGGAGTAGTTTGTGTGAAGTCATCCTGACTTTATCTCAGATCTTTGGTTTGCAACATCTGCTTTGAGAGCCTTTTCTCTCAGTACCTCTGTTGATTCTATTTGTCCTGTCCTTGTATTGCCTTTGACCCATCCTCACTGATAATCCTTCAATTTAATACTTTTCTACTTCCCATCTACCGCTTGCAAATGCTTTTATGTCCTCATGTCAGCAGACCTGAATTCTGCCATTCATTAGTTCTAGTTTTGTGGTGAAGGAGGCATAATAAAATGAAGAGGATAGGATATTGAATCAAAACATCTGATTTTTAATTCTAACTCTGCTACTTAAATATGACCAGCTAATTATATCTAAGTCTCTTTTCATTTATAAAATTATAATAATGGCCATTATTTGTTAAGTTTTCAACATGTACCAGGAACTATATGTTTTATATATGTTACCTCACTAATCATCATAGTAACCTTGCAGAGGAGGTGGTATTTTCAGAAACTGAAGCTCAGAGAAGTTAAGTAATTTGCAGAAAGTAAGGTGCAGACACTGGATTTGAATGTCTAAGTCTATAGGCTCCAAAGTCCAGGCACTTTTATTTCTTAACACTTTAATTTTGTATAGTGCTTTACCTTATACAGAACACTCTCACTTGTATAAGCTCACTTAATGTTTTTACAGTGGGTTAGGTGGCATTACTTACTTTTGTACAAATGTGGAACATGATTCTCAGATTGAGGGATTGGCTCAAGGTCACAATCTGGCAAGTGACAGAACTCAGGCCCAGACCAAGTCCAACTAGTGGTCTTTCCCCTCCATTGGATTGCATGTAGTAAGATAATGGGAGTACAGCACATTGTAAACTGTAAAAAGTTATGGGCTCCCCATGTCTGGCCACTGCTCTCCTTGAAGATTCTGCATATATGAACACATCACTACTGAGCAGTTTCTGATTCCTTGAACAGATGTCTGGTATTCCATCAAAATCTACTAGAAATGAGTTGAGTAGCCTAACTTAGGCAAGACTCAGATGTTGTAGTGGCCATCTATGAACGAAGGGTCAACAGTTCCCTGCTGACATTTGAGCCAAGTCCCAGTACCGGTTTTATTTAAGTCGGCGTGCAGTGTACTGTTTTCCTCCTTAACCCATGTATCCGCCCATTTGGCTGGAGGTTGCTGGGGGAGGAAGGTCTAATTAATAAGCAGCACCTCAAATGCTCTCATAAACCCTCTCTATTTCTTTTAATGCTAAATCTTAACACTGAAGTAGTGATGAAGCTTATGGGTACAGGCACATAGGCTTTGAGACTTGTGAAAGTCAGCCTGTCTCTGTGGAGGATTAGGTGAGTCATGCACAAACTTTTAGCTGAGCATAAAGAACTATGTAAACATCCTTGATAATGACAACATAAAATAATAATGTGATTTGAGTTATTACCAGTAGTGATATTTAATGATACGTTATGCTACAAATAATTTTTATTATATCCAGGAATGCAGTCCTTTATTAACCAATTAGTCTTTCCCCATACAGTGTATATTACTTAGTGTTTGTTGAGTTGAATTGAACGAATCCATACCTCTGGAAAGCAGCCTCTTTATTAATAAAGTTGTACTATTTTGTTTACGTGATCACATTGTTTTTGATATACTATAGCATGCTATTCCTTATTGACACAGTCACTTTGGAATGCCGTTTTATTTTGTGTTGGTTTTGCCTGTAAATTTCTCCTTTAAACTGAAATAGACTCCTCTTTTCACTTTTAGGAAATGCTGAATGTTCATGATCATTATCAGAACATGAAACATGTAATTTCAACTGATAAAGCCATTCCAGACAAAACCCTCAGCTTGGTAAAGGATGATTTTTTTGATAATATTAAGAACATAGTTTTGGAGCATCAGCAGTGGCACAAAGAGAGGAAGGTATGTGACTGCTTGTTTGATACCTCACCTCTGCATTTGCACTACACACGAGTGGCTGGACATGGGTGATAATGTTGAGAGGCAGCCTCCCTGAGGGGCTACATGGCTGTGGAGCTAAGATTTAGAGGACTTTACTTTTCTTTGCCACTTATTAGCTATGTGATGTTATTTAACATTCAAACAAATTCTATATATTTTGCATATGTAATCAAATAATTATAATTAGTAACAATTACATGATGTATAATTAAATAACTCATGTAATTATATATATATGATTATAGAGGAATGAGTCATCTTGGTATACCACAGATTTATTGCAATCTTTATAATTTAGCACTTCCCAGAGGTTGCACACTGGCAGTCTTTGGTCCAAGTCCTGCACACAGATATGTTTCATTTGGCACAGCATTGATCCTGACATTGTTTTAAAATTTTGAATTAAGCACTAAAATGTAAATATTTGTGGAGTTCAGAGGTTTCGCAGCACTGGTCCCCCTTCACTGCCTGGCAAGTAGATAGCTAGACCTGAGTGGTGGCTGCCCCCATTGTGCTCTGCCAGCCTCAGTTTATCCATTTACAGATCTCATCAGCACACATCTGCAATTTAATTTTCTGACCCAAATACTGAGGCTAGAGTTACCCATATTCCACATTAGCCTTTTCAGCTGGAGAAACTTTTTTATTCTGGAAACTTAAAGGCCAGCCTTGCTAAATTTACCTTTGAAACCACTACTCCATCCTATTTTAGTAAATACTTCTAAACAAAAAGAAAAAGTAAAAATAAGCATTTTCTGATTACTTACTAGTGTTTTTCTTAAATGCTAGATAGGTATTTTCTTACATACTGTTTTTCAGAAAGATTTGGTGCCTCTTTTGGGCTTTCCATTATATCATAGGAGCCGGGTCAAATTAATTTTGGAAAAAGATGTACAAGGAAAGCGATGAGATGACAGTCTTGGGAGAAGGAGACACTTTGCTTCCTCTCCCCACATTTATTTTAATGAGGTAGTACACTTTAGAATGTTTGAATAGTGCTCTCTTTTAATAAACTATGTTTCGTGGTTACTAAGATATCATTACTAAGACCTCTGAAAACATGAAGGAAAGGAGAATAAACCAGTTTTCTTTACCACCTAAAGTACATGTTGTCCTTCATTAGCAGGATTTAGGCATTTTGTTGATGAATTTTAGAACTATTCTGAAACCTAGCCATGATCTTAATGTCAGGTGGTGAGCCATACCGCAATAACGCAAAGTGATCTTTTTGAAGTAAATGATTCTCATTGTTCTGAAATTGATTTGCACTTAATTTTTAGGTCATTTGAATTGTTAATGTGTATATATAAATTTTTTGCTCTTTCAGAATCCATCCTTAAAATCAAAAGTTAAAGATGGAGAAGAAAAGAAGGAAGAAAATTCACAAGAATCAGAGGTCAGAAAAATTCACTGTGATTGCTTACAGAGCAGTAGTTTGATTAGCTTCATTTTATTTTATGTGAGGCTGTGATTCTGTATACTAAGCATTATAATCCTTGGTCAGTATTATAATAAATATCTTAGAAAATTCTGGAACATGGGTTCTGTGAAGAGCTAGCTTGTTTTTTACTGGAAACCTTGTGTAATACCACATCAGGTGTGTATTGGAAGTGAGGATGTTAACAGTTTTCAGCAGGGAAAGGTAAGGATGATGGTGGAGTGCTCTGAGTCCTTACAGGGGCAGAGTAAGGATTTTGTAATGTCTTTTTTCACTTCCTGCCAGCCTTTCAACTGGTGTGAAGCTCAAGCTATTCAGTACCGCTTCCTGCCTGTAGAGTTTCCGTCCATTTTAGCGGATGAGACAAGGGCCATCTTTGGGCATAGGCTGATGAGGTGGGAATGGCTTCATCACCAAGGCTTTCATTCATAGTATCCTCAAGTACTGAATGAAAAAAATCCATAGCTATGGGGATGTTCTCATGGCACCTGCTGTGGGAATGTGGTGTTTGTGTCTTTACTCAATACGTGTCCAATACGTGTTACTTTCTTATACCCTACCTCTGTCTAAAGTCTTATTTCTGTGGGTACTCATAATTTCACTTTGCATGTTTTAACTTTTTCCCCTTCTTGTGTATTTTTATTTCAGAGATGTGAAAGGGCAGAATCATTAGCAAAAATAAAATCGAAGGCCTTTTCAGTTGTTGTTCAGGTAAGTTATTTCTTTAGTAAGGTAATTTAGAAACTGACTTGATGCTTTTTGTTGTTAATCCTCACCCGAGGATATTTTTTCCATTGATTTTTTTAGAGAGTGGAGAGGAGGGAGGAGAGAGAGAGATAGAGGGAGGATCATTGATTGATTGCCTCTCTCGCATGTGCCCTTGCAGCGGCCAGGGATTGAACTTGCAACCCAGGAACGTGCCCTTGACCGGGAATTGAACCCTCAACCCTCCAGGGCTTGCACCAGTGCTCTAACCACTGTGCCACACTAGCCAAAGCTGACTTGATGGTATTTTAATTACATTTTGATTTTTCATCTAAGCACATGTACATAGTTTAAAAAGTCTGATAGGACCATGTAGCTTGTATAACTCAGCAGTCTCCTGCTCCACCACTTCCTACCCCTGTATTCCTAATCTTAAAAGGCAATCATCTTCAATTTTCCTCTTAGTTACTTCTGGTATTTATGTGGAATTTTGATGCCATTGTTCTTTATTTCTTCCAGCTTTTGTTTTCCTGTTCATGGAAGGTTTTAGGATTTTCTCTTTATCCTTGGAGTTCTGAAAGTTCCTGATAATGTAACTTGGTGTAGGTCTTTTTTCCTTTGTTGTCCTTGGCTCTCATGGTGGGCATCCTTTGATTTGATAGCATTCAGGTCGGAGGGATTTTTTTGTATTGTTTCTTTGATAAGAGTTCTTTGCTGCATTTTCCTCTTTTTCTTTTCTTGAACTTTTATTTTCTTATTTTAATCTCTTTCTATTTTCAGAGAGATTTCTTAAACTTTGTCTTCTGAGCATTACATTGAATTTTTTAAATTTCTGCTGACTTTTTTTTATTACTGATATTTTTTTCTTCTCTGAATCTTTTTCAACTTAAAAAATTCTTTATCTTTTTTTCTGGATGCATTACTTCTTTGTGGATGTTAATTACAGTTTTTTGAAGTTTCCTCCTTTCCTCCTTGAGGTCCTGTTTTGCTGGCTTTTTTTCAAATGTTTGAAGATCCTCAGATCATATTTGAGAGTGTCATGTGGCGATACAGCTTTTGGATCTCAAATATTTCTTTTTCTTGAATCTAATCATTTTTACCAGATAGCGATCTTCCATTCTCTGTCTAGGGGAGGAAAGTGGTAAATAAGCCCAGCTCCCAGTGTTTGGGAAGCCTACTGAGAGAATCAGCCGAGAGGCTTATCATTCTTTATGCAGGTTTCACACAACCTCCCTTTTTTCAGTAAGGGGCTCTGTCCCCTCCCCCAGCTGTCCGAGTTTTCTCAAGCCTGCAGCTTCTCTGGTTTAGACTCTCCAAAGAACAAACCTCCTATTTACTGCAGCAGGAAGTCAGTTGTTTAGCTTTGAGGCAGAGAAATGGGACTCTATTCCCTATGTAGATTTTCAACATATCCACTCATTTTTTTAGTCCCATTTCTGATGACTCCAGTTCTTGATCCACTTGGATCAGCTTGGTTTATATTAACTTCCTCAATATAAGCAATTAGGTTTCAGCTTTCTTCATTCTGTTATCAGCTATCACTCACTTTTCCACTTCCCAAATTTTGTTTTTGTTGTTGTTTTACAGATACTTTGTTTCTTATTCTCTTTGTTTTGTGAATTTGTTCATTTTTGTTCCTTTACTCTCATTTTAGTGGGGCTTCAGGAGGGAACACTGATAAATGTATGTGATTAATCTCATTTTTTTCCCTTGGATTTTTTTCATGAATCTAAGAATGTATTCTGTGGAAAATTACTGCCATTTTTCTGGTTGTAGAAATAAAAAAGGAATAAATAAAAAGTGAAAAGTGACTGTAGGTTAGTTAAATGTTATATATTTGCGATTCTACAGTAAATTGAGTACAAAATACTGCATTTTGTGGGGGTTTTTTGTTTGTTTTTAAATTTATCTTTATTGTTGAAAGTATTACAGGTGTCCCATTTT